ATGTACTTGCCATATGACCTAGCAATTTACTTCCAGGAATTTGCCCTGCATCTACTAGTTAAAGTGCACCAAGTTACTGTATGTACAAGAATATTTACTGGAACATTGTCTGGCATGGTAAAACAAAGATGTTGATTTCAACATCTATCAAAAAGGGGAGCAGTTAGGGCTGGACACAGGGGCTCACACCTGTAATCCCAGCACTTTGGGAGGGTGAAGCAGGCAGATCATGAGGTCAGGAGTTCGAGATCACCCCTGGTAAATCGAGGCCAACATGGTAAAACCCCATCTCTACTAAAAATAATAAACATTAGCCAGGTGTGGTAACGGGTGCCTGTAATCCAGCTACTTGGGAGGCTAAGGCAGGGGAATTGCTTGAACCTGGGAGGCAGAGGTTGCAGTGAGCCAAGATCACGCCACTGCACTCCAGCCTGGATGACAGAGCAAAACTCCACTGCGGGTGGGGTTAAGGGAGTAGGTCAGGCTAGGTGTAGTGGCAAACTAGCCATAGTCCTAGCTACTTGGGAGCTGAGGTGGTTACAGTAAGCTATGATCCCGCCACTGCACTCTGGGTCTTTAAAAAAAAATGGGGCGGGGGGCAGTGGGGAGGATTAGTTCAATTACCCCCCTATAAAAATTTGTACAGATTTTTATACACTGACTAGGAATTGATTAGGTTAAAAAGATAAATAAACCATAGCACAGTATGTATAGTATACTCCTTCTATTCCTATGAATTATTTGTGCATAGAGAAGTTGAGCTGATGGCCGGGCACAGTGGCTCACACCTGTAATCCCAGAACTTTGGGAGGCCAAGGCAGGCAGATCACTTGAGGTCAGGAGTTCAAGACCAGCCAGGCCAACATGGCAAAATCCTGGCTTTACTAAAAGTACAAAAATTAGCCAGAGGTGTTGGTGTGCATCTGTAATCCCAGCTACTCAGAAGGCTGAGGCAGGAGAATCACTTGAACCTGGGAGATGCAGGTTGCAGTGAACCTAGATCACGCCACTGCACTCCAGCCTGGGTGACAGAGCGAGACTCTGCCTCAAACGAAACCAGCCAGCCAACCAAACAAACCCGAGAAGTCAGGCTGAGAGTGGAGACTGGAAAGAATGAGAGATTTTCACTTTTTTTAGACCCTTCTGATTTGCACAATTTTGGAAAAATCTGCATGTAAAACTTTAATATTTATTTTAAGTATACTCCTCTTGTGGACCACCCTCCCCATCAAACCAAGTGTAAAACAAGTACTTTATTGGCATTAACTCTCTTCCTTTCACTCTCTTTCTCTACGATGCCCTCACCCCAAATGTTCTTTTTTGTTCCCAATCTTTGGGGGCACAGGCTGAAAAATAAAAGGTTTCAATTGTGGGGTGCCCCTCCCTAGCTATACATTTAGTACATTTTCTCAAGTGTTCTTTCAGAATGAACTGTTTTCTTCAACATTTGCCAAGCTAATAAAACCATAAGAAAGACAAATACAGACTTTACTAAAACATCACCTATCAAGGTTACTTAGTAACTACAAGGCAAGCAAAAGGATCACATTTAAAGTCCTATCTTCCAGTTCACTGCAGTGTTCTGTCATATTACAAAACATTGGCCAAGGATGGTGGCTCACACCTTTAATCCCAGCACTTTGGGAGGCTGAAATGGATCACTTGAGGTCAGGAGTTCAAGACCAGCCTGGCCAAAACGGCAAAACCCTGTTTATATCAAAAACACAAAATTCAGCCAGGCATGGTGGCATGCACCTGTAGTCCCAGCTACTCTGGAGGCTGAGGCATGAGAATCACTTGAACCGGGAGGCAGAAGTTGTAGTAAGCCAAGATCGTGCCACTGCATTCCAGCCTGGGCGACAGAGAGACTCTGTCTCAGGGAAAAAAAAAAAAGATAAAAAAATTGTAAATACCACGTCTATCACCAAAGGACTAATTTTTAAATTGATATATCCTCCTATAACATTTTAGAGTCATTTAAAATGTTTTATATGTATTGACAAGATACTGATCTGCTTATATAATCTCATACTTGCAGAAACAGATTTCTGTATTCGTGAATATGTATTTTGTGCATGGATATAATAAAGAGTGAGAAAAGATGTAAGCAGAAATGTTAGCAGTGGCTACTTTGGTACTGAAGTTCAGGGTGATTTAATTAAATTTTCCTCTTCTTTTGTTTTGGCTCATTTTTCCCTACAGCGATCACATATTATTTTTATAATTAAAAAAAAATTAGGCCAGGCGTGGTGGCTCACACCTGTAATCCAAGCACTTTGGAGGCCAAGGTGGGCGGATCACCTGAGGTCAAGACCAGCCTGACCAACATGGTGAAACCCCATCTTTAAATAAATAAATAAATAAATAAATTATAGGTAGGGTGCAGTGGCTCATGCCTGTAATCCCAGCACTTTGGAAGGCCAAAGCAGGTGGATCACCTGAGGTCAGGAGTTCCAGACCAGCCTGACAAATATGGTGAAACCCATTCTCCACTAAAAATACAAAAATTAGCTGGGGGTGCTGGCAGGCACCTGTAGTCCCAGCTACTTGGGAAGCTGAGAAAGGAGATTTGCTTGAACCTCGGAGGCAGAGGTTGCAGTGAGCCGAGAAGGTGCCACTGCACTCCAGCCTGGGAAACAGAGTGAGACTCCATCTAAAAAAAAAAGAATTAGCTGGGGGTGGTGATGCACGCCTGCAGTCCCAGCTAATTGAGAGTCTGAGGCAGGAGAATCACTCAAACCCAGGAGAGGTGGAGGTTGCAATGAGCCAAAATCACACCACTGCACTTCAGCCTGGGCAAAACAAAAACAAAACACCAAACCAATTATAAAGAAGACAGAAATTTCAGTCTCCAAAAGAGATATGGAATGACCTAGGCTGGCAACATGGTGGAAAAAATAAGTAAGTGGCAGAGAGAAGCTGACTGAAATGAACACGACATGGACAGCCAGGGTACTCTGGGCAAGATTTCTCACTTTATTCATTTGCTATTTATTGAGGTCCGGTGGGTGAGGAGACTATGCTAGATGTGATGGAAAGGATAGTAGGGTCCCCTGCCTCCAGGAGTTAATAATACAGTGAGGACACGTTAAACATATTTACCCAAATCATGATCAATTACTGTTGTGAGGGGAAAGAAAGTGGGGCCATGATGGACTGTGTTCCTTGCCTTGCCTCCTCCCCAATTCAGTGTCCCTCACTTGTACCATGAGAAGGTTGTAATCTAGGCTGAGTTCCTTTCTATGAGGCAGTCTTTTGGAGTGAGGCTTTGGGAAGAAAATGAAACCCCAAATCAGCCTTGCAGCCAACTGAGGGGCCCGCAGAAGGGAGTGAGCCAAGACCTACAGAAATCCTTTGGGAAAGTTACCCAGCAAAAGAATAAAAGTATGGTGCGGGGAGGATGAGGAACAAGGTGCAATATTAAATGGCTCTAGTTAACAAGTAACCTGACTTTTCCTTGTTGTTAAATCAAGCTCACCTTGTACTCCAGGGATCTCCCAATCCCCCACCAAGAGGGGTAAACAAGAATAAGCCAAATAATCGGGGCATGCTTCCTAGACAGACCTCTGAATCATAAAGATGTTGAATCATCTATACCAACATGTATTTTTTTTAAAGTTTGCTCTTCCTAACCTTTGCTCCTGAATTTTAAGTTTCCAACTTTAAAGGACATAGAGGAGAGAGGTGTTCATTACAGTTTTCAATACTTCCCAGAACTAAATGTCTTTATTCTGATGCTGATTAATAAAAAATATACCAGTGGTGCACAGTTTTCAAGCTTAAACCATAACACCCTTTCTCCTAACTGCAGAGGGAAAAGGATCACATTCTTCCATCTAATTCCAACCCACCCACCGTGATATGCTCTTTTACATTGTCTTTATGAAGAGGATAAAAGTGAGAAACTGCGTTTTACAGCAAGTCTGCACATTTCTCAGGGAAATAAAACCTCCCTTTGACTGCTACCCAGGCTGCCACAAACTGCAGGGCCTCGGTTAGCATCACAGTGGCGCGATCGCAGGTCAAACATACCCCACGGCCACAGCGAGGCCTGCTGGGCCCGGAAGAACACACTCCCCGCAGAACAAGTTCGAGCACACCTGGAGCAGCACACCCGAGGAAAGCGGCGGCCGGGTGCAAGCGCTGCTCGGCCAGCTCCGGCCTGCAGAGCTGGGTGGCCGCCAGTGGCCGCTCTGGGTGGCACACTAGGTAGGTCTCGGAACCCCAGGCCCAGAGGGTCAACTGGTCAAATATAAGTCAGGGTCCTAGAAGTTCCACTCGTAAATCCTACTGTCTTCCAACTGGCCCGAGCACTCATTACCACGAGAACCCAGCAGGGTCGGCCCTGACTTTCATACCCCCCGCCTTCCACCGTTGGTGCCAGGAGCCACGAGTCCCGGGTGGGTCTCGAACACCGGGGGCAAAACCCGAATAAAGGCTTCCAGTAGTTGGGTAAGGGGCGCAAAAAACAACCTAGAAGGTTGTCGGGCCGCGGGTTCCCACCCACTCTGCCCTGCCCTGTGCTATCAGCTCGCTAACTCCATTGGCCCCACCGGGCCAGCAGAGGAAGTCTCCAGAGTGGGCGAAAAGCTCCTAAGGACTTAGTGTTTACAAAGAAACCAAGCCCGGGGAGGGGACTGGGTCCTCTGGGTACCCTTTAGACACGGTGACTCCTTCCTTCCCTCCTTTTCCCCGCACCCCAGCTGGGGGCTGCAGGTGCCCAGCATGAGAGTCTCTCCGGGAAGCGGAGGTCTTTGGGGAAATCTATACCTCTGCCGGGCTCTGCCGACTTCAGCTGCTCCCCCATGTCCCACCAGGGTGCCTCCTTGGCGCAGAGACCCCCACCATCAAAGCTATCAAGGGGAGGCTGAGGGATTCGTGGAGGTGGGTGCCAGCTGCAGAACACCCTTCGCGTACCTGCCCGGATCCCACCGTCTGCCCGACGTGCCCGGGACCCCAGCTCCTCAGCGGTACGAGCCCTCCTTGGCCAGGTTTCTCACCTTGGATAGTGCCATTGCAGGAGACAGAGGCCGCCAGCAGGACAGCGGCCCCCAGCAGCCACGCCGCGCTTGGGTTCCGCATCCTCCCCAGGCCCCGACGCCGGGCGCTCGGGGGATCAGCCGTCACGGATTCGAAACTCAGAGCTCTACTGGACGCACAGAGAGAAAGTCAGCTCACCCGCCCCAAATCGGAGCCTCTGCGCTCCTCACCCGGGCGGGATAGGTTTCTGGGAAACCCGAGGCGCCGCTGGACTCACCTGCGGGAGGCCACGCCCCGAGACCGGAACGCGCACCCCGGCCCAGCCCCCGGATACCTGCTCTGCGCGACTGCGCCCCCCGCTCCCCGTACGCGCGCCAGATCCCCGAAGCTGCGGGAGCCGCCTGCGGGCGGGGTTGGGCGGATGAGGTGTCTACTTAGGAATGCAAAGAGCCGGAGCGCCGGGACAGCGGGTTATTCCCGGCCTGGGCTCTGCCGCAAACTACCTTTAACCTCCACTCACGTCTAAAGAGCTGGATCGTCTGTCTCCTGTCAGAAAGCCACGATCCGAACTCACCGCAATTATGGTTGGTAACTGATATAAGGTGGCTTCCCGGTGCGGTGGACACTGCAGGAGGAGAGATGTGTTTTTTATTGCAGAGGTAGGTGGGCAGGTGCGGGCACCAGGAAAGCGGTGGGGAGCACAACAGGCGGGGCGGGCAGAGGCAGGGGTGAGGTGGAGCGGGAGAGAAGAGATGGAATGGCTACTTTCAGTGCCAGGTACCAAAGCTTTAGAGTATTATCTTGTTTAATCCCCACAACAACCAGCGCAGCAATAAATACGACTATTCTTCCCATTATACAGACGAGGAAGTTGTCTTCTCCTCACGGCACTATAAATGCGTCCACCGAGGCTTCTCTGCATTGGGATCCCATAGGCTAAATAAATATATAAACAGATTGAAGGGGTGGGGAGAGGAGAAGTGTGGGGTTGGAGATGAGTGCATGAGGCATCATACTGGTAATGTTTTACTTTCCATTTGCTTTTTTGTTTTGTTTTGTTTTTGAAGAAGTGGGTTCTTTGCTACACCTACCCTCCTGACCACTGTGTGTGTGTGTGTGTGTGTTTGTGTGTGTGTGCGCGCGCGCATAGTTTAAAGGTCTCTGAGGGTAAAATAGTGACTAGTGACCAAGTTTAATACATAGTCTTAGCTCAATAAATATTTTTTGTTTCTTCCTTTCTCTCAGGAGTCTTCATACTCCACCTGCATCCCAGCTCTCACCTCAGCCCATGCCTAATTTCCTTCCAGGAAAAGTTGACTTCTAGAGGCAGAAGAGCATTTTTTTATTTCTTGTAGAGAACCTTTGACATCCTGGACAGGGGACAGTTCTCCTGATGGGGATCAAGCCATTCCTGAAGGTCCCTCCCCAGGGACAATAACTGATTCCTAAGATGTCCCTTCAAACTTTTCAAGCATCCATTTCCTCAACTGTAATTTATTAATGTTAAATCTATCATCTGGGAATGATACTAGTACCTTTCTTGTAGGATGGTTGTGAGGAGTCACTTTGCTAAATGTCCGTTAAGCACTTCTAGCAGTTTCTGGTATATAGTAAGCACTTAAGAAATAAATAGGAGCTGCTAGAGAATGCCTTTAACGTGGAATCTTCCTTTCAGAGAACAATACCTCAGGGTCCAGCTGGTTTCGATTTAAATTTTCACTGTATTTTATGGGAATATGCCTTGAGTCATCACAGTTTCCAAGAAAATACTTTATTGAACAATGCTATAAGTTAATTATCTCAAAAATGTGGTTTCTTCCTGCAGCCTGACTACACTCACTTGAGTTCGTTTGCAGGTGTTTTTCAGTAACTCTGAGAATATAGTATTTGTTTTTCAGATGTTGATGACTCTTTCCCTCTGAAGGGATTGGAGTATTGTATGGCTGTGTGGAACAGTACAAAGAAATGACCACGGGCAACTCCAGACTGCCTGGTTTCCAGAGATTAGGATTTTCTGCAATCTTCCACCACCTATAATTCCAAGGAGGAGTTTAGACACTGAGGGGAAAGGTATTTCATTCAAATAAATTATCAGACTCTTCCTGGAGAAATAAAGTCCCTGAATTATTGGGTCCTGATCAAATATAGTTGGAGAAAGTTATACTCATTTATTCACTAATTCATTGAGCACTTACTCTGGACAAGGTTAGCAATGACCTCCATGTGGTAAATCCTATGGTTCTTTCTCAGTTACTCAGCCTAGCTGTTGAATTGACACAATTGATTTCTCCCTCTTTCTGGAATGCTCTGTTCACTTGTCCTCCAGGCTTACTCTTCTCTTGATTCTCCATCTGCAGCATTAGCAATGCAGAGGTGGGTTCTTTGCTAGTTCCCACCTACCCTCTTGACCACTATACTCTGGAGTGCCCCTAGCTTAGTCTTTGGACTTCTTTTCTTTCTTTTTTTTTGAGACAGAGTTTTACTCTGATGCCCAGGATGGAGTGCAGTAGCATGATCATGGCTCACTGCAGCCTCAAATTCCTGGGCTTAAGCTATCCTCTCACCTCAGGCCCTGAGTAGCTGGGACTACAGGTGCATACCGCCAGGCCTGGCTAATATTTTTTTATTTCTTGTAGAGACAGGGTCTCACCATGTTGCCCAGGCTGGTCTTGAACACTTGGGCTCAAATGATCACGATCCTCCCACGTTGGCTTTCCAAAGTGTTGGCATTACAGGTGTGAGCCACTGGGCCCAGCAGACTTCTTCTCTTCTCAAAGTATACACTCATTCCTTTGGTGACTTCATTCAGTCCCATGGTTTAAATACCATCTATATGTTGACAACTCCCAAATTTATATTTCTACTCCTGATTTCCCCAATCCAGGCATATAGCATGTTCATCTAGCTATTCAACATCTCCCCCTGGATGTTTCTACAGGCGGATCAAGCATAAGTCCAAAACCCCAATTCATTCCACGTCCACCTCCCTTTTCAGTCTTCCCCCTCTCCTTAAATTACAATTCCATCCTTCTAATAGCTCAGATCAACTCTTGGAGTCAGGCTGGGTGCAGTGGCTAATGTGTATAATCCCAGAAATTTGGGAGGCCAAGGCAGAAGGATTACTTGAGTCAGGAGTTTTAGACCAGCCTCGGCAATATATTGAGACCCTATCTCTACAAAATGTTAGCCAGGGGTGGTAGAATGCACCTGTAGTCCCAGCTATGCAGGTGGCTGGACAGATGGATCACTTGAGCCCAGGAGTTACAGGCTGCAGTGAGCTATGATTGTGCCATGATACTCTAGCCTGAGCAACCAAGTGAGACCCTGTCTCTAAAAAATTAAAATTAATTTTCTGGGCACAGTGGCTCACACCTATAATCCCAGAACTTTGGGATTACAGCACTTGGAAAGCCAAGGTAGGCAGATCACATGAGGTCAGGAGTTCAAGACCTGCCTGGCCAACATGGTGAAACCCCATCTCAACTAAAAATTAGCCAGACATGGTGGCACAGGCCTGTCTGTAATCCCAGCTACTCAGGAGGCTGAGGCAGTAGAATCCTTTGAACCCAGGAGGTGGAGCTTGCAATGAGCAGAGATTGTGCCACTGCATTCCAGCCTGGGCAACAGAACAAGACTCTGTTTAAAAAAAACTTATAAAATGAAAATTAGGTGGGACATGGTGGCTCATGTCTGTAATCCCAGCACTTTGGGAGGCCAAGACAGATGGATCATGAGGTCAGGATTTCAAGAACAGCCTGGCCAAGATGGTGAAACCCATCTCTACTAAAAATACAAAAATTAGCCAGGCACAGTGGTGGGCACCTGTAATCCCAGCTACTCAGGAGACAAAGTCAGGAGAATGGCTTGAACCCTGGGGGCGGAGAGGTTGCAGTGAGCCAAGATTGTGCCACTGCACTCCAGTCTGGGCAACAGAGTGAGACTCCATTTCAAAAAAAAAGAAGAAAGAAAGAAAATTTAAAAATTGTGGAGCTGGGCCAGGCGCAGTGGCTCATGCCTGTAATCCCAGCACTTTGGGAAGTGGAGGTGGGTGGATCACGAGGTCAGGAGATCAAGACCATCCTGGCTAACATGGTGAAACCCCATCTCTACTAAAAATACAAAAATTAGCTGGGCATGGTGGCACGCGGCTGTAGTCCCAGCTACTCGGGAGGCTGAGGCAGGAGAATTGCTTGAACCCAGGAGGCAGAGGTTGCGGTGCGCCGAGATCGCGCCATTGTACTCCAGCCTGGGTAACGAGTGAAACTCCATCTCAAAAAAAAAAAAAAAGAAAAAAGAAAAAAAAAATACTGAAGTGTTTCCCACTGCCCTCTGAGTAAAAACCAAGATCTATCAAAGGTTTACACATCCTGTCCCCTCTCTTCCATCCACACACACACATCGCCTCCTAGATGTTATCTCCCGTGATTCATATCATCATCCTACTCCAGGCATGTATGCCCCCTGCCATTCCTTTGCACTCAGTATTCTTTGCCTGGAGTGATTTTCCATCAAGCAGCTCTTGATTCGTCTCTCTTCTCTTTTCTTTCTTTCTTTCTCTGTCGCACCCAGGCTGGAGTGCAGTGGTGTGACCTTGGCTCACTGCAACCTCCACCTCTTGGGTTCAAGCTATTCTCCTGTCTCAGACTCCTAAGTAGCTGGGATTACAGGTGCCCACCACCGTGCCTGGCTAATTTTTGTATTTTTAGTAGAGACAGGGTTTCACCATCTTAGCCAGGCTGGTCTTAAACTCCTGACCTCATGATCTACCCCGCTTCAGTCTCCCAAAATACTGGATTACAGGCATGATCTCAGCCTTGCTCTTGACTCATCTCTCTTAAGGTGTTACTTAGAATTAGAAATTATTGACTGGACAAGGTGGCTCACACCTGTAATCCCAGCACTTGTGGAGATCCAAGTGGGAGGATCACGAGGTCAGGAGTTCAAGACCAGCCTGGCCAACATGGTGCAACCGTTTCTACTAAAAATACAAAAATTAGCCAGCTGTGGTGGCACACACCTGTAATCCCAGCTACTCGGGAAGCTGAGGCAGGAGAATTGCTTGAACCTGGGAGGTGGAGGTTGCAGTGAACCGAGACCACACCATTTCGTTCCAGCCTGGGTGACAGAGTGAGACTCTGTCTCAAAAAAAAAA